AGAAAGATACTCTTAAGAGTAACTCAATAACTGGAGTACCTGCATGGCTCAGTCGGTTAATCCTCCAGCTCTTGATTTCGGCTCAGGTCATGACCTCACAGTCGTGAGTTTGAGCCCAGTGTTGGGCTCTGCACTGTGTCAGGAGAGGCCTGCCTGGAATGCTCTGTGCCCCTCCCCCATTCATTCTGTCTCTCTCTCAAAAATTAAAAAAAAGTAACTCAATCGATCCCAGCCCAAATGTCCTGCAAGTGCTGTCATCAGAGCCTCAGGTTTCCACTGTCCAAAATGGCACTGAACTCCATCATGGTAAACACTTATGTGCCCCTTTGTAACCTTCAATTGTCCAGAAGCTGCTGAAGAAAACCATCTTTAACCATCTTTGGTTCCTCAATACTGGGGGGAAAGTTAATTTCAAAAATGGTCAACAACGCTTATATTTTATATAGCATATTGTTGCCTTAGAATTTATCAGTCCTAGATCTGACAAGATTTGAAATAGGCTTACTAAGTATTTAGCCTCTAACACGACCTAATCCACTCATATCACACCAGTTTAGAGAGAAGAATTAACAAGTGATTCTCAGTCAAGGGACATTTGGCAATGTGTAATTTTACTCTCGATACTGGAGAGAAGGGAGTGGTCACCTAGTAGAGGCCAGGGATATTGCTAAACACACATGTACTATGTACATACCACAACAAAAACTTACCAAGACCAAAATGTCCATAGTACTCAGGTTGAGAAATCCCACCTTAAACTAAAGCTCTATATTAGACATAATCTAAGTCTCACCAAACGAAAATTTAACCTCAGAATCTAGAAAATTCTCCCTTGGCCATTTCTTCCCATAGCACAAAAAAAGAAAAAGAAAAAAAAGTGAGATTATGACCTACTAAAGTGGCATTCACAAATGAGGATCCTAAGACACTGTGTACAAGTTACTGATCCAGAACTAAGGTGTGGGCAGCTCTGATAAGTCATGCTTCCCAAGCTTAGAAAATTAAAAGAAAAATGAAGTCATTTAGTATAAACTCCAGTCCACAAAAATTACTAAGTTTGGACTTGCTATAGTATTGTTAAAAGTTCAAGACTGTTCCTATACTAACACAAATTGTAGGTCATTCTTCCATCCAAGCTGGAGGAGAGTAGCATCCCTACAACTTCCACACCAGTTTAAAGAAAAACTCGCTGCAAACCAGAGCAGTACCTCAAATATTAATGACTGGCTTTGAGGAGACACCATCCACCCAAAGTCCATATAACCAACTAGTGAAAGACCAAGTTGTAACAGCAGTAAGTGGGGAGGGGTATCACCTAGCTCTTGCAAAGCTTTTGTGTTAAGCTTCAGTCCAGTAGCAATTTAAGAATCATTTAAAAAAAAAAAAAAATCCAAGATCAATGAGGACCCTTAGAAAGATACACACTGAACCTGAGTAGAAACTCAAACATGCTGCCCAGCTATTTTAATGACTTTTTGGCAAAGGGAAGCCTCAGAGAACCTAGAAAGTACAGAATGACTAAAGGCCAGGGTTAACTATCATTGTTGCAGAAAAAAGGTTCCGCATAATCTCCAATTATTTTCCTCTACCCATCACAGAAAACTCCAGACACCAGGGAACTCTGGGGGACAGGGAAGCTCATTACTAGTTTATTATGAAGAGAAGGCCTAATGGTGTTAATCCTTTAGTTGACTTTTTCAGGAACTAAACTTGGGAAAAACCTACTTTCCTGAATTTAAAGACCAAGATATAATCTACTATCAGTTGAGGACTAGTTAAAAAAACAAAATTAATCATGTATCTCTTCTCCTAAACTACTTTCGGGGAAAGGAGACAAATCCCAAAACCTTCAGCTAACGGATGTAACTAAACGGAAATATCAGGCTACCAAATACAAACCAATACTCCTTTTAGTTTTGCTGAACAAGCCAAAAAGAGCACTTGCTGTACAAGCATTCAAAACCCTCAAGAATCATTTATGTTCCCTACTTAACTAGTGGACCTAAACCCCATGAACCCTTATCCTCATGTAAATCCCAAAATAATCAGAATATTTAAACTTAGAACATTTTCAGTTTAAAAATGTAAAATATTTCAGGGGCACCTGGATGGCTCAGTCCGTTAAGCGGCGACTTCGGCTCAGGTCATGATCTCACAGCTCGTTGAGTTTGAGCCCCACATTGGGCTCTGTGCTGACAACTCAGCCTGGAGCCTGCTTCAGATTCTGTGTCTCCCTCCCTCTCTGCCCCTCCCCTGCTCATGCTCTCTCTCTCTCAAAAATAAACATTAAAAAAAAATTTGTTTTAAATGTAAAAAATTTCAATTGACTAACAAGGCTGTATTACGGCAAGAGGATAGTTTGCCTAAGATTTGACTTCCTGTTTGTTTGGGCTTTTTTTACACTTGTCCCAAACTCCCTTTTGCTCAACAGTGAAAACCACCTAGACTTGATCCACAGCACCGGGCTAAGCATCACAGATAAAAGCAAAATAAAGCTGAGTTTTAGAGTAGCATTTTACTAAGCTTTATTATTTCCCAATTTCTGTAATTAAAAAAAAAAAAAATCAGGAAAATTCCGTATAATCCTCGCCTGCACCCACTAAAACCAACAGGCAGGAAACAGCCTTTATAAACTTCCAATTCTGCCGGAGCATCAGCGTGGTGGGAAAATTATTTTAAAAGCCAGCTACAATCTAGTGTGGTAACAGGAAGATAGCTGAAGGAGTTAACTCCTTTTAAAATGCTGTAATAAAACAGATTTTGGAGGAAGAGGTGAGGTATCAGGTGATAGAAATAAAGTCAAATTGCTGTCAAAATTCCTGTTCAACACCTAAACTTCTATAGACAAAACTACCGCCGTATTTTACAAAGAATCATGGTCTCAAGTTCCCACTTACCTCTTAATTAAAAAAAAAAGAAAAGAAAAGAAAGATAAGTTTACTTATTTCAAATTTCAAAAAAAAACTACCCCAATCAAGACTCTACTGTCACACACAAAGCTGCATTTCAATAACTAACAGAGCAGTGAGGGGCACCTGGGTGGCTAGGGTCATGATCTCACCTTTGAGTCCCAGACCCCCTAGGGGCTCTCCGCTGTCAGCCTGGAGTCCACCTCAGATCCTCTGCCCCCCAGTCTCAAAAATAAACACTAAAATATGTACACATTAAAAAAAGAAGAAGAAGAAGAAGAAAAAACTAAACACACACGACAACAAGAACTTTGTTGGAAGAATCCAGCTAGCTGTGTTAACTTCGCTACTGACTACATGAAAGTGTCTCCAAACGTGCTGTGGATCAAAGGATGTCTTTGACTTTTAGGTATGTGTAACTCTAAGGTGCCTTCCAGGTCACCTACATTTGAAAGCGCCTTGTATTCTTTTTTTTTCGTTTTCGGTCAGAAAAACTTTCCTGGTGATGATTCATCTGCACATAACGTCGCGGCTCGCACCCACCTCTACAAATTGCCAAACTATCTGAAGTGTAAATGCCAGTAATAAGCAGAGACTGGCCTCTAAATCTTTACTTGGCCATAATACCCTGAATTTACTGCAACAGTAACCCTTCAGACCTCAAGATTTAGGGGGCACGGGGACGGTTTACATAAACGCGCAAGATTTTAAAAGTAAAAAACCAAGTTCAGTAAGTATTGGAGAGCGCCTACTAAAAATTACAGAATTCCCGCAGTGACGCATTTGGCGTTTACAAAGTTGTGAGGAACAAGCGTCAGATTGGACTTGACGGAATTTCCCCAGTATTTGGGCCAAAGAGACCTTTCCCAAAGTGAGGGGGGCGGGGGAGAGGGGTCAGTTTGAAGGCAACGGCACCAAATTATGCCATTTGCGGCATGTCAGGTGGATTTCACCTTCACTGTTCAGTCTTTGCTAAGAGTTTTCACAACCCTCCACGCGAGAGCACATTCCCGAGTCTCCAGAGAGAAGCTCCGGGGACTCGCCGCGCGCTCTCGGTACCCGCCACCCGGGCTCGTGCTACCGACACCGATCTCGAGACTCTGGTTGTCGCCTCGGGTCCGCAGCGAGCGCCGGCACAGCCCTTAAAGGGGACGAAGCAGAGGGCGCGCGGGGACCGGCGAGTACCCCCGCGTGGAGAGCTTTTCGCGGGGAGACACGGCGGCACGAGCAGTCCCCGGGGGACAGGGAAAGGAATGTGGGGGTCCGGGAGGTCGGCGGGGCCTCCCGTCCTGGAGCATGAGAGCGAGGAGGGCCTCACCTTGCTGCGGTCCTCCTCCTGCTGCAGCAACTCGGGAACCGCGGCCATGGCGACGCGGGACTCGAGCGGGGGCCGCCTGGCTGTGCGAGGAAAGAAGAGACTGGGCCGCCGCCGCCGCCTCGGGGGCGCCTCTCAGGGGCGGCCGCGGCCCCGCCTCCGCCAGCCTCCCTGACCGACGGCGGCAGGAGGCCTCCGGACTCCTCCACCATCCCAGCAGCCCCGGGAAAGGCCAGCGGCGCGCCACGTGCTCCCCCAGAACGGCCTCCCCCGTCCCCGCTGCCGTCCATCTTGGAGCCGGGCAAAAAAGCTACTCGGGGCCTACCTTCGCTCCGGGCCACGCGGAAACCACCGACCGCAGGGCCGCGAGAAGGACGCGGAGAAGCAGACGCTCTCCCAGCAAAGCGCGTGTCAAGAAAGCCCGCTCTCTCGTGCGGGAGAATTTATTACTCAGCCAGAGTCCAAGATGGCGACCATCCGTGACGTAACAAGATATCGTGAGAGCGTAAGGGCGCGATTTGGAGGAGCCCGCGCTAACGCCTGAGAGGAGGGATCCCCACGGATCGCGGGAGTGTCTAGGGCAGTGAAGGAGGGGCTAACTGCGGGAGTAGGAGCTTCGCAGTGCATGCCGGGACCACCGCCCCTTGGGCGGAGCCAAACTCGAGATCCAAGCGCGGGATCGAGGAAAGTACGGGTCCCGAGTGGTTGTCGGCGCTTTGGAAGTTCAGCGAAGTGTGGTGGCTTCAGAGGTACATACCGGTGCCGTGAGCTGGGCTTCTATTTAAGCCTTCTCTTCCTTAAATTCGATTTCCACACGAGGGGCCGCAGCCGTCCAGTCCCCACCCCGTGGTTCCACACGTAGGGCGGAGGCGGAGGCCGCCTTCTGGGGATCACGTTGGTGGGCCCCGCTGACCACCGCTTACCCGCTCGGACCTGGTGGGACCCTTCAGAAGCTCAGTTTCCACGTCTGTAAAACGGTGTCGCAGTAGTACCCACCTTAAAAAGTGTAAGGGCTTAAATGAGAAGTCTCCGCCCGGAATACCTAGCAGAGAGCCTGGTATGTAGGGATCAGTGGTTAACCGTGACCATGGTGGCCGCTGTAGGACGGGCTGGAGCGTTGCTTTTGTGTGTCTCACACACACCTCCCTTTCTAGGCGTCCCGTTTCTTATGATTGAATATCGGGGACGTCTTGCCCCAAGCTGTAGCATTTCACATTTAACAAGTACTGTCCTTCCTGGCAAAGAGAGTCTTTCTTTGGAAATAGCTTTGTCCAAACACGTCGAAAAAGCTTAATGGAATACAATTTGATATGCCTTACGCTAATACGGCTTTCATTTTGGCGGCTTAAATATTTAATACGTTTGGTATCTAATGCCACTTTTCTTTTTAGTAGGAGTGCAAAAATAAAAGGCCCTTAACATTGCAAGTAGACTAGAGGGAAGTGAAAAAGCATCTAAAGATGAAGGCGTTTCAGACCATCTGCCGGCAGCTCAGAAGTTCAAAGGGGTTTTCTGTAGAACCAACGACTCGTGTGGATTTCTCCACTTCCTCTTATTCCTGTAGCCGGAAGAAAAAAGTGAACCCTTATGAAGAAGTGGACCAAGGAAGGTATTCTGATTTAGTACAGTCTGTCTTGTCATCCAGAGGCCTTGCTCAGACTCCAGAATCATTGTTCGAGGAGGATAATTTACTGTATGGACCTGTGAGTAAGTGTAAGCCCCCAAAGCAAGATGAGGCGGCAAAAGTTCCAGGAAACTGGTGTCCTCTCTTCAATCCAGAGAAAAGCATGAAACCGAATGCAACAAGTACTCCTACAATTCCTTTGAGAATCCCTTTGCAAAGAAACACGATTCCAAGTGTGACCAAGGTCCTTCAACAGACCATGACATCAGAACAGATTTTCTACTTGGAGAGGTGGAAACAGCGGATGATTCTGGAATTGGGAGAAGATGGCTTTGCAGAATATTCTTCAAGTAATTTTCCCAATCCTGATTCTGTATGGTTACTATGTTTTCTAGAAAATAGAGCACTGGTATCAAAAGAATGAGAGTATTTTTTGACCTGAACTAGTGAGGCGCTACTTTAAAATGATAATTAGCATTAAATAGCACTCTATATTAACTCAATCATGACAGCCCTGTGAAGCATAGATACTAGTATTCCCATTTCACAGATGAAACTGAAGCACAGGGATCAAGTATTTGACCAAATTATGTAGAAAATTATTTTGTTTTATAAGCTACAAACTTGAGTATTGGAGTTGCCTGTTTTCTCTGATTAAGGAATCAGTCACCTGATAACAATTCTACTTTGCTAGGCATGCTATTCAGAATCTAGGAAATACCCCCTTGCTCTACTTTTCCTCTTTGACATGTAAGTTTAAAGACTGGCAATAAGCTGGAACACATAATTTGTTGTTTAGATCTCGGCAAATTGAGATAATAGATGCTCTTGATCGGTAATTGAAAATAAGTAAACTTTAGCATTCAACTCCTAACTTATTAACTTCTTAGACAAGTGAGGAGAATAGTTTCCTTAAAAACAGGTTCCATTCAAAAGCAAGGTGAGACGAAAGACCATTGGCACAGGTGAACTCTCTGGTCCCCATCAAGATTATATAGTTGTTTTTTTTGTTAGAGCTATGTTTTACATCGATCATTCCTTAGCCCATGCTTCCCAGAGCAGTTATGTGTACCCCTAGTAGGTGGTACAGAGCACTTCCATTTTTAATTTTAGGAGTAATGCACTTGTTTTTAAGCACCTTAGAAAAAACTGTGTGTGGGTATCACATTAAACATGTGGTCACATCTGTTAAGTATTTATATAGGTTGTACCTGCATTTGGCAAAAATGGTCAAGGTCCTAATCTCTTAGAACATTCCTCAGCTGTGTGGGGCCAAGAATCTATGCAAGGGCCACCCGCCTTTAGATAATAAGTAACAACATCTAAACTATTCTCTTGTTTTCTAAACAAGCAACATAAAAACATCTTTTAATGGCATCTTAAGTTTTTTATTTGTACCACAAGAATTTAGAATTGACGTTGTTTCCACATGGGAAGTTGTTTTTCATTTTCCTTAAATCTGGAATGTCATAGCTGTGGGAATCCTGGAATTACTGAAACAGAAAAGTAAACGCAGAAACCTGCTAGGACGTGTGGGAACCTAGAACTTGTAGTCCTTGGCAGAGTAAAAAAGTGCTCTGGGGCCTCCTTGATAAAGGAAAGGAATTTCTGTTGGGAATGTGAACGAGCTCCACCATCCCAAAGCAGAGAGAAAACTATGGTGGTTTTACGTATAATCAACTTTGTTGATCTAGATTATTACTCGGATGTGTTTCTCCGTTAACTCAGGATCAGTTTTAAGAAACAGAATCAGGGCATTTGGGTGGCTCAGTTAGTTAAGCATCCGACTTCAGCTCAGGTCATGATCTTGCGGTTTGTGGGTTCGGGCCCTGTGCTGACAGCTCAGAGCTGGAGCCTGCTTCAGGTTCTATGTCTCCCTCTCTCTGACCCTCCCCTACTCGCACTCTGTCTCTCAAAAAAATAAACAACAACAACAAAAGGGGGGGGGATTGCTTTTTTTTTTTTTGTTTTCTCAAGGGGGCAATCACATGAAGATTAGTGTCCTGATCCTCTCAACCAATAAAAAAGAAAGGAAGAAAAGAAAGAAAAAGCATATCCTAACCCGCTAAATTGATTAATGCGTCAGGAGAGGCAGTTTTTAAGTAATGTATTGATAAATTCCTTTCCACCTGGTCTTCCCAAAGGCTAGAGCATAGAGAAGTGCCCAGAGCTGGCATTCTGTCAAACATTTGGTCAGTTTCTCAAGCATCAATTTACCTTTTGAAGATTGCCAAGGATAACAAAGTTTGACTTTGATTTATATGTGTTGATCATAGTGGAAAAGATGGGTTTCTTCATTTTTTTTTTGCTACAGTGAGTTTTTAATCCTGCCGGTTCTATCAGTCAGAATCTTGGAGACTCATGGATTTTTTTTCTTTCATTCCTTTAATTTACTGAATGAATACTCTGACTTGATGCTTTCTGCAGTAAATGTATGCCTTTTAAATTTTACTTTGACAAATTCAATCATATTTAATGTTCTGAGCCTTACAATCTTTTTTTCTTTTTAAAAAATTTTTAATTTTATTTAAATCCAAGTTAACATATAGTGTATAATAATGATTTCAGATACTAGATCTTAGCCAAAAGGCCGAGAAGTGATTATAATAATGATTTCAGGAGTAGAATTTAGTGATTCATCGCTTAGGTATAACACCAAGTGCTCATCTCAACAAGTGTGCTGCTCAATGCCCATCACCCATTTAGCCCAACACCCCTCCAGCAACCCTCAGTTTGTTCTCTATTTAAGAGTCTCAGGGCACCTGGGTGGCTCAGTTGGTTAAGTGTCCAACTCCTGATTTCAGCTCAGGTCGTATCTCATGGTTGGTGAGATCGAGCACCAACTTGGGCTCTGAGCCGCAGGTGCAGAGCCTGCTTGGGATTCTCTTTCTGCCCCTGCTCTGCTCGTGCTCGTTTGCTCTCTCTCCTCAAAATAAATTAAAAAAAAAAAAAAAGTCTGTTATGGTTTGCCTTTCTCTTTTCTCTTATTTTTCTTTCCTTTCCCCTATGTTTATCTGTTCTGTTTCTTAAGTTCCATGTATGAGTGAAATTACATATTAATTTTCTCTGACTGGCTGACTTCTGAGCCTTACAATCTAAGGGATGTAATCTAGCTTCTGATGTTCATTGCCTCTTTTATGTGAAGAACCCAGCCAGGGGTTAAGTCTGCAGTGGAGAATGAGTTTATTTGCTTGGCAGTTGATAAAGTAGGATTTTTTTCTTCCTGTTTTTAACATGTTTGTGTTTTTCATTAAGCTAATGTATAGATGAATACTCTTACCTAGGTTTTAATTCCATTTATCTTAAATTTCTTGTAGGCCTTTCATATGCTAGTAAGTCCAATTGAGCCAAGTACATTTGGAGTGTAATAACTCAGTTTCTCAGTTGAATTTCATTTAACTCTCCAAGTAATTCCCCAGAAGTGATTCCATTTTTTTTGTCAGTGGTAAAACTGACCTTTCAAAATCCTGGTAAAACAATAGTTGACAAATGTAATATGGTTTTGCTATTACCTTAGTGGATGAGATTGTTTTCCTCATTTTCTATGGGTGTCTCCAAGCATGTATATTTCTTACTCTGCTCCTGTGCACATCTAAATGATGGTCCCTGATTTTGCCTTCTTCACTGTGCTGTATAACAGACTGGAATTGAACATGGACTCTGGTGCCAAGCTGCTAGTCCACCTTTTTGCTTTGGGGCAAATTAACAGCACTATGTAGGCTTCATTCATTAACTGGGAGTAATGATTCTTCTCTTGCTGGGCTGTTGTGTTTGAAAAAATTAGGCTCTTCTTGCCCTAAAAAAAATGCAGAAGAGTGTTACATATTTCTTCTCCTCACCCCCAAGTTCCAAAACATCCAATTTGTTGTTTTTAATTTGTATATGCCTTGATTTTCATTCCTTGCCATTCATTAAGCCTTAGTAAAAGGATTCCCCCACCTGTATTCATTAAGTGTTGATTGTAAAAAGAATTGTGAACAGAAGCAAAGTTCCTTAAATTTCCAATAATTAGTTATCACAACCAGTTAAGTTACACTAATGGATACTTAAATTCACAGTACCCTAAACTAGGTGTGGTCCTATTGCCCCCAGATCTTCAATTGTAGCTTTGGCCTAATCCTAGAAATTCTTTATTTTAATGAATTTTATTGTTCAAGCTATTTCAGTCCCTTTGGTTTTCAAAGCGCGATTCTCAGGTTTCACAAGAGGCTGAAATGTGTGTTTTAGGGATTGTCACTTTAAAGGTACTTTATGTAATTTCTAATTTTACTGTTCACAAGTTTTAAGGCATTTGTCTTTTAGTACTAGCTTTGTTCTTATTTGTTTTTCTTTTTCCCGATTTTCTTTTCAGACATATTTTTACAAGGGAAACGGTTCCATAAAGCCTTGGAAAGCATACTTTCACCCCAAGAAGACTTGAAAGAGAGAGATGAGAATCTTGAATCTGGATATGTCGAAAGTGTCCAGCATATTCTGAAAGATGTCAGTGGAGTGCGAGCTCTTGAAAGTGCTGTTCAACATGAGACCTTAAAGTATGTAGGTCTGCTGGACTGTGTGGCTGAGTATCAGTAAGTATTAGATTTTTTTTTTTTCCATCTAAGTGTGGAGATAAATTAACACAGGGTGGAACTGATGATGCCTATCAAATACTGTTTATTCCTCTGAATTCCTACTCCAAGGTGTAGTCTTGTGAAGTCAAAACCTATACGATACGTAAAAGAACTGGGGGCAGGGGGCGCCTGGGTGGCTAAGTCAGTTGAATATCCAACTCTTGATTTCAGCTCAGGTCATGATTTCAGGGTCATGAAATCAAGTCCTGTGTTAGGCTCCATGCTTTGCACAGAGCCTGCTTGAGATTCTCTCCCTCTGTCTCTCTCTCTAATAAAATTAAAAATTAAAAAAAAAAAAAAAGAATTGGGTATGGGGTAGGAAGTAAGGACAGATATAGGAGGAAGAGCCTCCTAATTCTTGTAAATCTGTGTTCCAAAATCAAAGTATTTGCTGGAGAAAAGGTATAAGTTTTCAATATCCAGCATGTTCCGCCTCCCCTAAGCCCAAGCAAACTACCAGCTGCAACATCCAATTTGATTCCTGCATTCTGTTTCCCCATTCCCCTAAAAATAGCACCTTTATCTATTGGCCCTGAAAATTAACTCTTCCTGGCTTCCAGGCAGTGTTTGACATAGATAGGAACTCTGAGCTTCCTAAAGCTTCCTGTGGTTTTTAAATTGCTGCTCTGTTACTGTTTTTCCCACTTATTCCATATTCCAACGGGAGATATAACCTGCAGATATCCCTATTCCAAAAAAAGGATGCAATACACAAGGATAGGGAAAAACCTGTGAGTATAACTCTTGGAATTCTAGTTAAAATTTGAATTAAAAAAAAATTGACAGAGCATTCATTAAGTCTGGAAACTGTTTAGGCAACCAAACAGTTTTGTGCCATAGCTGCTTTGTATCTGTGAGGAGGCCTATGTGCCTAGAAATTTAATAAGCTATTTTTAGCTGCCCTTTAGATTAACCAAGGCCGCCGTTCGATCAGTTCTACCCAAGGCCTATAAGAAGTTCATGACGCCAAACGCTTAACCGCGCTGTACACAGTGCTGACGTTTGTTTTCTGCTCTTTAAGTGAAAAGCATCAACGTTAAGAATATGAACATTGAACGTTTCTGAAAATTAAGTTTTCAGAAATTTTAAAAACACTTTTTAATAGGTAATATATGCATTTGGTTAATCCAAGCTATTAAAAGTAAATTTCCCATCCCCACTTTTTCTTTTAAAAACGGTCTTTAATGTGGTAAAGTATATATAACATAACATTTACCATAAAATTCACCATTTTTAAGTATACAGTTGAGTATTATTACATACATTCATAATGTTGTACAACCATCAATACCACCCATCTCCAGGACGTTTCATCTTATAAAACTGAAATCCTGGGCCCGTTAAAGTAATCATTGTAATCTCCTCTATTTCCAGCCTCTGGCAACCACCATTCTACTTTCAGTCTCTATGAATTTGATTGACTACTGTTAAGTACCTTATGTAGGTAGAATCAAAGTATTTGTCTTTTTGTGACTGACTTATCTTTATCCTTTGATGCACAATTTTTTAAAAATTTTCCTGTATTTTTTCTTTTGTTGCCTGTGCCTTTGGTGTCACAGCCATTAAATCATTGCCAAATCCAGTGTCATTAAACTTGGGCCTTGTGTTTTCTTCTAAGGGTTTTATGTAGTTTTAAGTCTTACCTTTAGTTCATGGATCCATTTTGAGTTAATTTTTGTATATGGGGTTAGGTAGGAGTCCAACTTCATTCTTTTGCATGTGGATAGCCACACTCTTCAGGGCCATTTGTCAAAAAGACTGCTGTTTCCGCATTGAATAAACTTGATACCATTGTCCAAAATCATGTGACTGTGTGTGGTGAGGGTTTATTTCTGGGCTGTCTATTCATTTCTATTGGTATATATATCTGTCTTTATACCAGCACCACACTATTTTAGTTATTATAGCTTTGTAGTAAGTTTTGAAATCAAGTATGGGTCCTCCAGTTTTCTTTTTCAAGGTTGTTTTGGCTGTTCAGAGTCCCTTGAGATTCCATATGGATTTTAGGATGGGTTTTTCTATTTGTGCAAAAATTGTTGTTGAGATTTTTATAGAGATTATATTAAATTTGTGTATCACGTTGGGTAGTATGAACATCTGAACAATATCAAATCTTCTAATCCATGAACATGGTGTATGTTACCATTTATGCCTTTAATTTCTTTCAGCAATGATTTGTAGTTTTCATTGTAGAAGTCTTTAGTCTCCTGGGTTAATTCTCAAGTATTTTATACATTTTGATGTTATTATAAATGGAATTGTTTTGTAATTTTCTTTCCAGATTGTTCATTGTTTACGTATAGAAATGCTCCTGACTTTTCTGTGTTGGCTTTGTATCTGCTACTTTGCTGAATTTATTTATATAGTCCTACCAGTTTTTGTGTCAATTCTTTATAGAGTTTTTTTGTTTAAGCTTATTTTTATTTATTTTGAGAGAGAGAGAGAGAGAAAGAGTGCATGCATGAGCAGGGGAGGGGCAGAGAGAGAGAGAGAGAGAGAGAGTGAGAATCCCAAGCAGGCCTCACCCTCAGTGCAGAGCCTGACATGGGGCTCAATCCCACAGCTGCAAGATCACATCCTGAGCCAAAATCAAGAAGCGGATGCGTAGCCAACTTAGCCACCCAGGCGCTCCTAGAATTTTTAATATAAAAGATCATGTCAACTGCAAACAGAGATAATTTTACTTCCTTTCCAGTTTAGATGCTTTTTTTTTTTTTAAGATTTTTAAGGTTGATTTATTTTGAGAGAGACGTGGCACGAGTGGAGGAGGGGCAGAGACAGAGGGAGACACAGAATCCGAAGCAGGCTCTAGGCTCCAGGCTCCAAGCTGTCAGCACAGAGTCCGACATGGGGCTCGAACCCACGAGCCATGAGATCATGACCTGAGCCGAAGTCGGACGCTCAGCCGACTGAGCCACCCAGGCGCCCCATCAGTTTGGATGCTTTTTATTTCTTTTTCTTGCCTACTTGCTTTGGCTTGAATATCCAGATGCTGTTAAATAGAAATGGTGAATGCAGACAGCCGTGCCTTGTTCCTGATCTTAGAGGAAAACTTTCCAGTCTTTTACCATTGAGTATGATGTTTACTGTGGGTTTTTCATATATGGCCTTTACTATGTTGAGGTAGTTTTTTTCTATCCCTAGCTTGTTGAGTATTTTTTTCATTAAAGGATATTTAATTTTGTCAAATGCTTTTTCTTCATCAATTAAGGTAATTATGTAGTTTTCCTCATTCTGTTAAGGTATATTACGCTGGTTAATTTTCATTGTGTTGAATCATTTTTGCATTCCAGGAATAAAGCCCACTTTGTCATTGTGTATAATCCTTTTAGTATGTTGCTGAATTTGGTTTACTAGTATTTTGTTGAGGATTTTTGCATCAGTGTTCGTAAGGATTATTTTTTTGTAATATTTATTTATTTTTGAGAGAGAGGGTGGGGGAAGGGCAGAGACTGGGGAGACAAAGGATCCAAAGCTACAACAGAGAGCCTGGTGTGGGGCTTGAACTCACAAACCGAACCACGAGATCATGACCTGAGCCAAAGTCAGATGCTTAACCAACTGAGCCACCCAGGCACCCCTCATAAGGATTATTGTTCTGCAGTCAGTGTCTTTGTCTGGCTTTGGTATCACAGTAATGCTGGATTCATAAAGTGAGTCAAGAAGAGTTCCCTACTTTTCAATTTTTGGGGAAAATTGTTGGTATTGGTATTAGTTATGTAAATGTTTGGTGGAATTCACCCATAAAGTCATCAGGTCTAGAGCTTTTATTTGCTAGTAGATTTTTGATTACTGATGAAATCTCCTTACTAATTATAGAGCTATTCAGATACTCTGTTTCTTCATGACTTAGTCCTAGTAGGTTTTATGTTTCTAGGAATTTATTTATTTCATCTAGTTCATCCAACTTGTTTGCATATGATTTTTCATAGTACTCTTCTTTTTATTTCTGAAGTAGTAGTAATGTCACCAATTTCATTTCTGATTTATGGAATTTGAGTCTTTTTTTCTAATCCATCTAGCTAAGTTTGTCAATTTTGTTCATCTTTTCAAAAAACCAATGTTTAGTTTCAGTGATTTTTTTTTTCTATTGTTTTTCCATTCTGTATTTCAATTATCTTAAATCTCTTATTTCCTTCTATAAGCTTTGGGTGTACATTTTCGTTTTTTGGTTCCTTAAGTTGTAAGGTTAAGATACTGATTTAATTCTCCTATTTTTTAATGTATTTATTGCTATATACTTCTTCTGTAATACCGTTACAGTATTAAAAGAATGGTGTTCTTTAAGTTTTGGTATGCTGTATTTTCATTTTTATTCATTTCTAAGTATCTTCTAATTTCCCCTGTGATTTTTTTCTTTGGCTGATTGTGTTAATTTCCACAAATTTGTGACTTTTTTTCAAGTTTTACTTCTGTTATTGATTTCTAACTTCATCTTGTGATTAGAGAAGATACTTTGTATGGCATCTTTTTAAATATATTGAGACTTACTCTTTATGGCCTAACATATGGTTTGTCCTGGAAAATTCCTGTGTGTGCTTGAAAAGATACATATTCAGTTGTTGGGGAGCAAGTGCTATATGTCTGTTAATCTAGTTGGTTTATTGTGTTGTTTTAAGTCCTTTATTTCCTTACTTACCTTCTGTCTGGTTCTACCCATTATTGAAAATAGATATTGAAGTCTCCAACTATTATTATAGAACTGTTTTTGGGGCACCTGGCTAGCTCAGTCAGAAGAGCATGCGACTCTTGGTCTCAGAGTCAGAGTTCAAGCCCCATGTTGGGTATGGAGATTTTTTAAATAAATAAATCTTAAGAAAGAAAGAAAGAAATGTATTTCTCCCTTCAACTTTTTTCAGTTTTTCCTTCATATATTTTGTTAGTCTGTTACTAGATGCATAAATGTTTATAATTGTTATATCTTGATGTATTGAACCTTTTATTAAAGACTGTTTTGT